TTGGGAGGGGAAATTTCCAGACTGCACACATACAACCTCTACACGTCTCTGTACAGATTTACAGTTTAAACTCTAGACACCTACATACTGTATGTTTTATCTATTTTTTCGCCAGTTTCAGTGACGAGCAAAAGAAGACTTTGGTCGACAAATTTGCACAAAACTCTTTTCTAACATGTGAATGCAACATTTCTGTGCATTTACTGTAACTGTACTTACTGTAAACCAGCTGACAGTTTCTTTTTTGCTTCTCTCAGGACGACGAAATCTCCGTCTCATAATGGAATATCTGCCGTTTGGAAGTCTGCGAGATTACCTCATGAAAAACAAAGACAGGATCGACCACAAGAAGCTTGTGCATTACACTTCTCAGATCTGCAAGGTACTTCCCTTTATCCAGTTTTGTCATATGGTGACCACTGGAGCAAGAGGTGCCAAAAAAATTTTTTTTTTCTGTGTCCGCAGGGTATGGAGTACCTGTCAAGTAAGAGGTATATCCACAGAGACCTGGCAACACGAAATATCCTCGTTGAGAGTGAGCTCAGGGTGAAGATCGGAGATTTTGGCCTCACTAAAGTTCTGCCTCAGGACAAAGAGTACTACATGGTCAAAGAGCCAGGAGAGAGTCCCATATTCTGGTCAGACTTCTGTTATTATCATTTATTTAGTGTTTTTGTTCTCTTCATCCTCCTCATGATGCTGTACAGTATGATTTTATTTAAGAAATTGTGCACATAAAAAAAAAAAGCTTGTCGCTAACACATAATTCATGAATATTAATCCTGTTTTTATCTCAGTGAAAACTGGGATGCCTGTCCTAATGATGTTGATGCGTAAACAGACAGTCACACTGTGTGTTATTTTGTAGGTATGCCCCTGAGTCGTTGACTGAGAGCAAGTTCTCTGTGGCGTCAGATGTCTGGAGCTTCGGCGTGGTGCTCTATGAGCTCTTCACCCACAGTGACAAGAACAGCAGCCCTCCTGCAGTAAGTGACAACACACACTCTCACAGATGCCTGCACTGGCTTCTTCACTGCCGGCTCAACTCGATTTATTCTCACTGTAAAAACGTAACAATTCCTAAGGTCCAGTGTGTAACATTCAGGAGGATCTATTGGCAGAAATGGAATATAATATTTATAGGTATGTTTTTATTAGTGTATAATTACCTGAATATAGGAATCGTTGTGTTTTCCATTACCTCAGAATGAGCCATACTTGTCTTTAGACGCCACGGGTTGCCTTCCATGGAGTCTGCCATGTTTCTACAGTAGCCCAGAATGGACAAACTAAACACTGGCTGTAGATTGGGCCTTTTGCATTTTTTACGATTTTCACAGCCACTGTAGTTTCACCTACACATGTCATAGCCTGTTCTGATTACCAGGTCGTCAATTACAGATGTGAGCATTGTTCAGTTGGTTGCAATCTTCAGCTTCACCACTAGATGCCGCTAAATCCTACACACTGGTCCTTTAAAGATAGGATCTTAGTGCAACTGTGTGGCACAGCTCTCGAGAGAAATACACTGAGGCAGCTTCCCTGTTTTGATTCTTTCAAAACACACTAGCTGCATGTCACTTCTAGACAACAGATATGTAAAAAAAACTGCAAAGTGAATAAATAAATCGACCACAAGAGAGTACCTTCCAATCTGTAGTAATTATACATCAGAAGAGTAAAGTGATTGATGTTCAGTAAAAAGAACAAACAGACATGACATTTTATTGCTCCAGGAGAGAAGGCTCATTCCTCCCTCCTCTACCTGAGCCATCATGCCTCGAGGTGTGTACATTCACGCATTCCTTGCTGAATACCTCATTACAACTGTGTGTCAGTGTCTTAAGAGACAAAGTCTCTTCTGAGCCATAAGACAAACATAATTACATAAATTCCAGCCTATACATGACACAGGAGATTGTGTGACCCATTTACTGAGATCAGACTGTAGTTACATTTCTCTGTTCAGGTTGCTTCACATGTTTGGTTTTTCTCAGTCACAACAGACTTATTGCTCAAGTTGTCAGGACATCAAGTACTGTACATTCACCTGTTAAGATTCGGAATCTTTTTTATAATCTGGAAGGATCTTCTTGTTTTCTGTAAATCAAATATAATTTAAGTGTGTCTTTGTCTTGACTGTCACTGTTCTCCTCCTCAGGTTTTTATGTCCATGATGGGAAATGACAAGCAGGGACAGTTGATTGTCTATCACCTCATTGAGCTCCTCAAATCAGGCAGCAGGCTGCCTGAACCTCTGGGATGTCCCACAGAGGTAGGAACATGTATTGCCATTTCCTTAATGACATGCACAATACATGGACACGTGCATATTAGGGGTGGGAATCACCAGAGCCCCGATCCAATCTGAGTCATTTACTATTGCGTATCTGCTGATTATTTTTTTTTAGATAATACAGTTCAAGTAGTTTACTGAAATCAATCCAATGCTTGATAATTGAATAGCTCTTCATTGCATTAATGCACTGTTTGTGTTTTGTTTTGTTTTTTACATAATAAAGTATCATCGTTTTGCCTTGTCGCTGTCTGGGGAGTTCCTCTCTCCATTGTTTAGTGCATTGTTGCAGCCTCTGCCTGAGTTACCTTATTAATTACTCTTAGTGTCTTTTTGTGTGCGATTCTTTTGTAACACTTGCTTGAGTGTGGTTGCGTCGGATTTCTACTGCTCTTCTCCTCTGAGCAGAGGCAGCCCTGCCCGTGGTGAAACTCTGCAGCGGGCTGGGCTGCTCCTGCACTTTCACGCACACACAGAGCTCAGTGGAGCAAGTTGACAGTTCTCTCCATGATTGATTTTGTGTGTTGTGAACATGTGGCGTAGCATAGTGGATAATACCTATCATTGCTATCAGGAGAGACTGACCTGTAAAGGCTTGTTGTTTGCTCGTCTCAGGAATTCATCCACCAATAATGATCTTTCTTCCCTGCTCTTCCTCTCAGATACACGAGATCATGGAGGAGTGCTGGAGCAACGATCCCGGCCTGCGTCCTTCTTTCAAGGAACTTGCTCTGCGTATCGACCTGTTCAGGGACAGTAAGGAGTTTTAAAGTCAAAAATCACCCAAAGTGCCGTGCTCCTCTTCAGCTGAGCCGCTCTTAACATTGTTGCCTTGTTTGTGGCAAAAGGACAAAGGTCAAAGCAAGGTCCTTCTCCTGCAGAGTGCCAGCGTGTGGCAGAGCAGCTTGTGGCTGGAAGGGGTGGTGGTTTGAAACTAGGACCAGCTCAAAAACTACTGCCAAGGTGCCTTTTAAGCAAGGCACTCAACCCCCATTTCTAAAGTGGAGCGGCTTAGTGGCCAGCAGCAGGATGGAAATGGACGCTTGGATTCAAGGAAGTGTTGAAGTTAATGTTGCTGTTCGGTCAAACATCCTGGATAGAGTTCAAGCGTTTTTGAAGACTGTGAGTAGACAATTGCCAGGCCTAAAGCTAGAAATGCTTGTGTCAAACAAGTTCTGTGTTTGTATAACTGTATGTGTGTGCGTCTGTGTATGTGTATGTGAGAGAAAAAGAGAGTATCATGTCCATACAAACAGCTAGCAGGGCTAGCTCTTGCCATCCCCCTTTTCCCCTCATCTGAAGACAATTGGACTTATAGAGCTTAGTGTTTTCTATGTATGTGTATATACCTACACTATTTTTGTGTACATATGTCCAGAAAAATTTTATAATTTTATAAAATGAAAATATGGTAAATACTATATTTGAACTGCCAGCAAGATGTAAATGAAGTACATACAAAGGTGATTTAAAAATCTGTTATTGTTTTATGTTTTCATTGTGAGAGGTGGTGTGAAAATTAAAGAACAATTGAATCCAACATCATATCTGCTAAGCAACTTCTTGTTGTTTATCACTTTAAAAACTACTCAGAACCAGCCAAGAAGGTCACAAACTTTTTAGGGGAAGGAGAAGAATCACAAAACACAATGTACAGAATTTGTCATAATTAGAAACACGTTTCTTAATACACGTTAAATTCTGAAGCATATGAAACGGCTTGATTTTCCAGATTAAGATTAGAAAAGGTAGAAAGGTGTAAAAGATACAGGGTGAATGTAACGTACTACACATTTAAGATACCTGTAATGTTGACAGGTTGTGGGTGTGCCTCTTCCCTCGTGAAAGCTTTGTGTCTAGAGCCAACTGGATTAAACTGGAACTTCAACAGCTGATTATCTTTACAGGATGAAAGTGTTAAAAGTTTACTTTTAATCCATTAATGTGTATGTTGCATTTTACTGCTGTAAATGTTTATGGTTGAGCTAATTTTACCAACTTTATATAGGGTTAGTTTAATCTTCAGCAGTGCATCATATTCTATAAGATCATATGTTCGTAGTTTTCAGTTTAGTGACCATGCATTTTCCAGCTTATCCAAGAGGGCTTTTAAATCATTTATTTGAAGGAATAATGAATCCTTCCACTTATCAAAAACATTGGAAAACAACCGATTTTGAGATTAGATGCATTGTTTCACTGGACAGGAAGAGTATAAAAAATTGTAAACTCAAAAGTCAAAGTCAACTTTATTGTCCACTCTGCCATATGTACAGGACATATAGAGGGTTGAAATGCACGTTCTCTCAGACCCTAGTGTTGGTACAAATAATACAAAACAGGGGTTTAAATGAAAACTAAATACTAAAAAGGTACAAAGAATTTTAATATTTAAGGTACTGTTGAGACTGAATAGGCTGTGTGAGAGATGGGTGTGGTCACATTTTATTTTCAGGTTTTTTCCCCCAGTGGAAATGGTCTTCTATAGATTTGCAGATTAAAGCTGCAGTTAACAATTAGCTATAATCCGATCTATTTACAAAGGAACCTTGCCTTGAATTTTACATAACTCTTAATTTTCTCATTCTCCCTTGTGAGAAGCTTAAATTGGCTAAATACACTGGCATTTATGGAGATTAACCCCCCGCTGTTATAATTCAGAACAATGCACAAAAATGACATCAAACTCGACATTTTATTTTGAAATCCGGATGTTGCGCACGCTTCGGCTTTGCTGCAGCTTCATAAAAGCCGAGGAGGACGTTTAACCTGAACGTACGGCTGATGATAATATCTCACTGCTGTTTGTAACGAGTCTGAAGGGTCGTGTGCACATGGCTCTTGTTTGTTTTATGAAGAAAAGGCGCAATAATACCGCAAACATCCCCGATAACGGGCGCCTCCTTACTGTTGTTTCAATGCCATTACCTTAAACTGTAGAATAGGAGCGCACCGCAAAGCAGACGCGACTTCACCGCAGTACAAAAGGAGAAGTGAGCCTGAAACATATGTCGAGGACGCCAGGAGTGGGACAGTAGCAGAAAAAAGGTGGGTTTGCAATTTAAAAAGCTTTGTCTTTCTTAAGTACCGCAAGTTAGCTAGCTTATTATGTTTTTGTGTCCGCTTGATTTGAAGGAACCGTTGTGTTGTAGGTGAGCTACAGACAGAAATACAGACACACCAGTAACCAGAGGAGCAATTAGCAGCGACAGAGTGCGGGTCTCCGCCAGGTCTGTCTGCGGCCAGGTGAGAACTACAGGGGAGCCAGGGGGAAGCATGGCTGCTCTTCATAAGACATGAGCTCCCCTGAAAACACAATTTGTGTCATTTGTATCTCTAAAATAGTTAAAGTATCAGCCCCCATCCCTTTTAAAATGTCTGATATCTGTCTTTCTAGACAATTGCGATGCATATTAAGATGTTTTGAGGCATTTTTTGAAATAAAGTGCAGGAGGAAGTGAAATAATTCATTAAAAACTGAAGGCAACTTGTTCCAGTGAGACAGGGGTTGGTTGAATATGTGTTGTTGCTTATGTGTAAACTTAATATTGGTGTATGATTTGTGCACTAGGGTGACTTATCACTAATTCACTTTAAAAAAAAAAAAGGATACGTCTACTTTTGCCATCACCACTGAATCATGACAGCTTCTAGGCATTTATATTTTGCATGCTCATTTTCATTTCATTTCAAGGCCAGCCTGGCCTCGACGTTTATCATTTTATTGCTTGACAACCACTCAGCAGAGGCAGGAGAGCAGCCTGCAGAGTAGCTGGCTGGAAGATGAAGCGAGCTGGGCCTCCCGATGGGGGGTACGGCTGGGTGGTGGTCATGTCGGCCTTTGTCACCATGGGCCTCACCGCTGCTGTCCTCAAGAACTTAGGCCTCTTCTTCCTGGACATCCAGAGACACTTTGGAGTCCCGACCAGCACTACCTCGTGGGTCACCTCCACCACAATTGCCATGTTTCACCTCGGAGGTAAAGATGGGTTTTCAGCTTTAAATCCATAGTTGGTTTTTAACCTGAGATGTTTTTATAGTGGTGTTTTCATTGTTTTCTCAGCTCCAGCGGCCAGTGTGCTGACTTTACTGTTTTCTCAGAGAGCGGTCATCATAGTCGGAGGCCTGCTGGCTGCCTCCGGGATGTTGCTGGCATCTCTGGACCTCAGTCTGCCCTGGCTCTACCTCACTATGGGCGTCTTGCAAGGTAGCACATTCAGGACATACTCTGACCTCTCCAGGAAGCATTACTGTGTTTGGTCAGTCGTTGTCAGAGTAATGTCAAATTAAATCCACCTCTTGATCTGATGACATGTTTCTGATGAATCAGAAGTTGGTATGTTGTTGCACTTTGGGCTGGGAACACAGCAAGTAGAGCCACATGTGGCACCGTGCCAAAGAAGGATCATCTGAATAACTTACTTCATAGAAATACCAGCATGTGCATGAATCTTGATATATTTTTATCTTCCTGAACTGTTCCTAAATGTTCTTGTTTTGCAACATTGTGCAGTTCGGCTTCTTGTTAGGAAAGCACCCTGACCAGGGGAAACAGTTTTCTAGCCATACATTCAGTAGGTGTGACTTCCATGTGTTTTTTGACTCAAACTACAGCTACAGCTATAAATGAATACAGTATGACAACAAACTAAGGACCGTGGTTCATGCTTCTGAATTATAAGGAACCTTATGTGTGTACTAATACAGCTCATCTAAAGCCCAGTTCACACCAAAGATTTGCAAGTTGAAACTTGGAACTACTTGCAACGCTGATCTGCAACATACTGAAACCAATGCAACTGGACGTGACAGTGTATAATTTCCATAGCAACGACTCTCAATTAAATAATTTAATTGAGAAAATAATTGGCAGATAAATTGACAATGAAAATGGTCATTAGTTGCAGCCTGGATCCGTATGTTGTCTGTTTTCACCTAATAATAATTCTACAGAAATCACATTTTTCTTGGTGTTCCTAAACCCAGATGGCACAAACAAATATCTGACCAGGCGGGTGTGTCAAAGATGACCACTTTTGTTTGGTAGATACATCATCAGAGGACCCCAGGAAGAGGTCTTCCCCAAAAGATTTGATGATTAAAGGTTTCCATCTTCTATTTCAAGGAATTGGCATTTCCTTCTCGTGGATCCCTGCCAACAGCATGGTTAGCCACTACTTTGTAAAGTGGCGTCCCATCGCCTATGCCATCGCCAGCACAGGAGAATGCATCTTCGCCGTCATATTCAGCCCCTTCTTCCAGTGGCTGATTGAGATGTACAGCTGGCAGGGCGCCTTCCTCATCATCGGAGGCCTTCAGCTCAACCTGTGCGTCTGCGGTGCACTCATGAGACCCCTGGAGACAGACCAGAGCCCGCTACAGGACAGTGTAGAGGACGACGCCGCTCCGCTCCCGCCAAAGAAGAAAGTTCTCTTCCAGTTCTCCCTGATGAAAAAACCTGAGCTTTTCCTCTACATCCTGTTCGCCATCTTCGCAGCAGCAGGGTTTTTCATCCCACCTCTCTTTCTGGTGCCCTTCGCCAGCAGTTTGGGGATGGATAAGTACTGGCCGGCCTTGATCCTCTCCGTCCTGGCCTTGGCAGACCTGGGGGGGAGGCTGATCTGTGGGTGGATAGCCAACATGAGGCTGTTCAGGAACCTGCAGCTGCTCACCATGGCGGTCACTCTGCTCGGGGTGGCGCTCCTGCTGCTGCCCATCAGTCACAACTACTGGGTCATCCTGGCCTTTGCCTCGCTCTACGGCTTCCTGTTCGGCTGCGTGGTGGCCATTCACATCACCTCCATCGTGGACATTGTAACCCTGGAGGGATTTGACAGCGGACTGGGGCTCTTCATGCTCTTCAGGAGCATCGGTGGCTTCATCGGTCCACCTGCCGCAGGTGAGCAGTCTGTTTTTAGATTGTCAGGTAGAGACCGAATACACAGCCACAGGGGTGTGAGTTGATTCTGTGATTGTTTTGTGACTATAAGTGTGGCATAACAGTAATCGGTATTGAACAGGAGCACACACAATCATCATCATTTAAAGAAGTTTTGACATCGGTGCCAAAATTACACTTGAGTTGAACTTCGATACCAAAACAACACTTTATCCAACACCTTAGTTTTGGGAATGAAAACATGATGTAACCCCATTTTTATTTGATACGATCACCCTTTACTGATGAGGTGAAAATAAGGTGTCGCAGCAGCACAAGAAATAGAAAGCTGCTCAAAGGCCACTGTTAAAGAAAAACAAAAAAAAAACAACTACTTTTTGCCAAAAGAAGGTTTTAAGTTATTTGTAATATATCATAAATAATATCCAGGAATTAAGTAATTATTATTTTAGAATGGAAATTTGCATTCTACATATACGATGAAATGGATGCTGACTTTTGTGCACTGTCTAGGGAATCTACTTACTGAAATCAGTTAATTAAGACCATTTTCCCCATTCTGAAGACCAAATCACACATGGGTCTTTCTTCTTTTAATAATAATAACAACAACTGTTCATTAGATGGTCCATTCTGTTTTTGTGAATATTAGAATATCTTAAACAATCATTAAAGCTTTGCACCTGTTTCATTCTAAAAATGAAAATTCATTAGCACTTCTTAAAGTGACTCAGTTTCTTATAAAATGACAAAACCTCTAGTAGGACAACTCAAAATCCTTCTGATAACAGTTCTGGTAAATATGAAGCAAACACTTTCCCCAGAATGGATGTAACACCTGTAAGAAGAAACATATGATAAAGTATGTTCTTACAGGTAACACTGATGTGGCACAAACTGCAGGTCCACATACTCATTAAGGAACTGATACATCTGTTCATTTATTCATCAGCCCTGGCACACTGTGATCTTCAGTTTCTTGTTCTTTTGTGCAGGCTGGTTGGTGGATGAGACGAATGACTACAGCGCTGCCTTCTACCTCTCCGGCCTGTGCCTCATTTCATCAGCAGTGTTTGTCGTCCTGGTCGACCGCCTCGTAGAGAGGAGAAAGGCTGCGGAGGCTAAAGGTCTTCAGGCAATCAGCCAGGAGGACTGGGAAGCAGGAAAAGTCAAGTGAGACTCTGTTACATAAGAATTTTTACCTCAATGAACTTTAGGTGCCACAAGTGTTTGATCACACGCCAGCTGCTGGGTGGTTTGACCTAGTTTTACTGGTGATGCAGGTTTAGGTCATTAACCCTATCGGCCCCAGCTGGAAGCCAGCATCCTGTCCTCTGTTTTTAAGCGAGGCTTGCACACAAACCGATAAGTCAATTAACTTATCAACAACCCTGGTCCTTGAAAGCAAAATGAGCTATCGTGATTGTTTGTAACCCCTCCTTGTGTGTTTTTATTATGACAATCAATCAACATGTGAGGGTTAGGGGAAGTTTAACATTTGTTAGACTTGCAGTTTTTGACCTGGGATTGAAAGGGTGCCGACAGGTTTCGTTTTTTCCCCTCTGTGTCACAACTTTTTTAGCAGATGTAGATTCTTTTATGTTTTTTTTTAAATACCTAGAGGGTGTTTTGAAAAACATTTATGTTTTCAGTTGGCAACCAATAGAGAACAGTTTTAACAAATAAACACTGGTGGTATTTTTAACATTATGGACTAAAAACTTAAAAGCACTACAAGGAGTTTTTCACTGGTTGTGAAACAGTCTCGGTTTAATACTGTTGCCTCCTATATGATCTACATAAACAAGAGCATCAGTGAGAACACTGGCTACACTAGCGGATACGATGAAATGAGGCTGTTGCAACACTTCCACTTTTGTCCACAGGGGCCGCCACAATCAACACAAAATGTTGTCGCTGATTAAGATGAATGTAAACCAGACATTATCCTTTTTATCTGGGGAAATATTAGAAATGGCCTTCTTTTTGTTCACTCACTGTGGTTTAAAAAGGTGAACAGACAGCCAAAGTGAGCAGACAATAATTACAGTGTTAACAGGATAAGCTGGTAATATTATATATTTTATTGTCGAGTCAGGGCAGGAGGCTCCAAAAGCAAGATATGTCTGAATGTATTTAAGGAAAAAGCATAGATATTATTTAACTGTAGGACTCCCCTGTATTTAATCAGGGCTGTAAACCAAATGTGGGTCAGGCCACAGGAGGAGCCGTGCTCTTCAAGGCAACTATCCAGCTGTAAATAACTCTGGTGTCTGCAAGTAGTTCAGTATTGGATTTCTGTGTTACTGGTACGTTGGCCTGGTTTCTTAAAGGGCTATTTTGTTGTCACAGTTCTGATGTTGCTTTTATGGTGTTCTTCCTGTACAATAGACTAAAGATGAAGTCTGAAAAGGTTTGGTAACTTTTGACCACTTAAAACATGAATTTTCTTAATCTTTTTAAAAAGAAAAATAACTTCTTGTTCCTGAAGTACTGTAATACCAGTTCTCATACGCACAACTGACCTCTGCACCTTTTTTATTTTGTAGTTTAAACTACAGTATTTTATGTTTTCATGTTTTGTCTCAATACGAGGAATGGAATATTGTTTTTTAATGTTTGTTTTTAAGCAAAGATTCCAAGAATATACCAGTTCCGGCTTCTCAAATTTGAAAATTTATATCCAGATATTTATCTTTTATAAAGATATGTCATCTAATGTGAGAATAAATGTGCTAAATGTTGAGTTAAACCTGGAATGAAAGACCTGATCCACATCTTGTGATCCATTTTGTCAGTATAAAGATGAGATGTGTGAAATTAGTGTTCCTCTAGTCACCACTGGGTGGCAGTGTTGTCTAACGTGAGAACTTTAAAAAGCACACACTTAAAGACACATTTTTAATACAGACATCTTTTTCTACAGACAAAACAGTTTAGATTAGAAAATTCATTTAAAATTAAAGACTTCATCTACGGTCGACAAATGTCACAACACACAAGACATTTTCAAATAAAGATGCATATTAACAAATCTACAATAAACTACCTCCTATGTTTTCAGGTATTTGAAAAAGGGGAAAAAAGGGAAAGTCAAGGCAGCTATTTTACACAACAGAAACTGAGGCACCAAGGGTATTTTTATAAATGTTGGGAGTCTAGAAAACAACTGAACTGGGCTTACAGCACAGAATTTTAGAGGTGTGTTACGGAGCGGCCTCTGTGTCGAAGGGTGCACTTATTTTGCGACCTGGAAAAGCAAATGTTGCACCTTTTGGTCCATTGGATGAGTGTGTAGGGGAAAATCCCATGGCCCCAGTAAATAGAGTGCGTTCAGACGACGCCCAGTCCCAATGTCCACCTCACAGACTGACACCTATTTGTAATAAGTCTGTTAGGGCTCAGAGCTGTTTCATTGTGAAATCAGCAAGTGCTTGGAGGCTCTCTTTCAGACTTCTTGAGCCCCAACTAAATACACTTTTTGCACTGCTGCAGGCTCGGCTTGAGGGAATTAAGCACAATTTAATGTATGCATGTTAAAAACATGGAAAGCTTGAAAAAAATCAAACAACTTTTTAAGAGAGCTGGAAGGAAACAATAGCATCAAAAACGGTCTAGTTTTTGTCCCATGAAGCGCCTGATGGTATTCTTTGATTCGATTGATCATACTAATATACAAAGGTGAGCATTCTTTGAGGGGAAAAAAAAAAGTTACTCAATTTTATCAAACATTTGAAATATGAGCATCACACTACTGGCAGCAAACATGCTTCTGTCCAAGCTAATGTAGTGCTATGAGCCTTTATACCCTCCTGCTCTCACATTTTTACTGAGCAAATGGGTGTTAATTCTGTGAGGTTTTTACAGCTCAGACCCGGACATTGGGACTGGACCACAGGGAGCATCTATGAGGAGGCTCTCTTCTCCTCGTACGGAGACTCGTAGGCCTCCATGGGGGGGCACGTGCACACAAGGTGCTGGTCGCCATAGATGTCATCAATCCTGGAGATGCTCGGCCAGAATTTGGTCTCAGGCCTTATGAAGGGCTGGAAAGTAAGAAATGGAAGATGAATGTGAGAACAAAGTTATTTAATGGGGATTATTACGCTATACAGCTTTGTAGCCTTGTAAGTTTGCTGTAAAATAAGTATTCTAAAATATTTTTGAATCTGATCATTTTTATAAGGGTCTTGTTCACCCAAATTACAAAAGAAAAATGTCAATCTCAGTTTTCCAGAGGTCACAGCAATGTCTTCAGGTGGCTCGTTTTGTTTGATCAACAAAATGAATCAGGTCTTGATAATTGTAATTTTTCTGGCGAAAACACCAAATATTCCTGGTTCCAACTTTTCCTCATCATAAACAGTAATAAAGTGAATGTTTGGTTTTTAGACTGTTGGACTGAAACTAATTCATCTGAATTGTAGCTCGACAGATACTGGATTTTTATGGTCAGGTGGATACATTGGCCAATAATTCTTTTTTACATTAAAACAAAAATAATATTGATATGGTAAAAAAATCTAAGGAATCCTTGTTTTACCAAGATACTTTTTTCCTGATATTTTACAGAAAGAACTTTTATTCATAATGAAAATTGGTAGTTGCAGTCCTAAAACCCAATAAAATCGAGGTACATGGCGTTTCAGGGGGTTTGTTAACAAAAACATAGAATAAACGCCAGCCTTGACACAAGATCATCTACACTTTATTACGGTTAAATGAAGAGTATGCAGCTATAGAGGCTGTTGTACATCAACTGAATTAAACGATTCATAAATTACATCACTGGCCATTGAAGTCATTTCTTGTTGCAATTCTTACTTCTTACCACTAGGGGGCGACACAGACTATGGATTTTTTATTTTTATTTTATTTTTTAACCTTAAGCACCTGAGGTTACAAGTGCTATGAAGGAGCTGCTACATAAAGGTTGTAGCAGGGAGTGTGTAATGAAGTCAGAGCAATGAGGACACTCACCAAGGGGAAAGCAGCGTGCTCCCTGGAGTAGGGTCTGTCCCAGTTGGAGGATGAGATGCAGGCCAGAGAGTGAGGAGCCATCTGTAAACAAACACACGAGAGGACCTCAGATGTCATGCTGCATGTCACTGCTATATACATCAGCCGCTGTAATGCATCTTTCCACCTCAAACAAATAGACAAAAGGAAGCCAGTAGCGTACCTTGAGCGGGTTGATGCGGGAGTCCATCCTTCCCTCCTCAATGTCAGCGATCTCCTGTCGGATACCAAGCAAGGCGTCACAGAACCGGTCCATCTCGGCCTTATCCTCTGACTCCGTGGGCTCGATCATGAGGGTACCAGCCACCGGCCAGGACATGGTGGGTGCATGGAAACCTGAACACCAGCACAACAAAAACACAGAAATCTGAATAAAAATGTTTAGCACAAGGTACTAACAGTTCCAAATACAGTAACATATACAGTATTATTTTGTATTTAAGTCAGCCTACCGTAATCTTGCAACCTCTTGGCCACGTCGACGGCCTCAATGTTCGCAGTCTTCTTGAATGGCCTTACATCCAGAATGAACTCGTGGGCTACAAAACCTGTTCAGACCATCAGCAAACTCTTTATTTTCCCTACATAATTCATATTGTTTTATTTTTTTCCCTCCATTATTTTTTCCCTGGTCATCCATGCCCACTCTGCAGTGGCTCTCCCTCTACCTCTACCATGGGGGACTTGCCCCACAGTTTGAGAACCACTGGTGTAGAAGCATGAATTTTCAAAAGAATGATTGCAGACAGTCCCAGAAAGTGTAGAAAGAACATCAACATACGCTGATGGAAATAAAGATTTCACAGCCGTACCTTTCCTGCCTCTGAAGAGGACCTTGAAGTGACCTTCCAGCCTCTTGGCCATGTAGTTGGCATTGAGGATGGCCACCTCTGTAGCGTGACGCAGTCCTTTGGCTCCCATCATCTAAACACAGAACACATGAGGGATGTTAGCTGGAAATTTCACTGATAATGAAATTATATTATTAAAACTGCCACTGGACATATTGATTACAATAATTATTATTTAAGAATTCACATCCATTGCAAAACAAAATTTAATCTAATTTAGGCAGGTCATGCAGCATAGGTTTTGCTCAAATATTTATGTAATGTTTGTGTAACACCTGGTCTGAATAAAGAAATAAAGACAGTGAGGAGGTCAGTTCTTGAACAAAATGTTTTGCTACAAAATTATGTATCAAATCTCAAACATTCAGGTCAAAAACTAAAAAATGAAAGGCAGACAGACTTGAAAACCAGTGGTAACAATAAGAGAAGGCCGACCACTTCACTTAAAACATGTCTAAATGTGTCGCTTAGGAACATTTCTTCTTGATAAACAGCAGATAAAATGTCAACTACTAGCTGCTTACAGTGAAATCCTGACATTCCTTCACACTTCAGGTCATGTGACTCAGTCATGTCAGCCAGGTGACCTTAATGTCAACATGTGAAGAAAATGTCTCAGTGAGTAGAACAGATGTAACTAATATTTATTTATAAATTAATATTTAAGACAGGCATCAAGAACATCAAAGTGTGTGCAGACTTTTTTTGGTATTCTTGTAGCCCAAACTGCGTACATTCATGCCAGCTTTTCTAAGCTCTTTTTTTCCATGAATTTGCAGGAGAAAGTGAAAACTGCAAAAATAGTGGCGATTCTTTAGTATAATTCATAAAAAAATGTAAGGCAACTTGTTCCAGTGAGAATCATATCGCACTGTTTGGAGGGTAATTAATGCACATCGTCACATCTAGGAACAAGGAAGTGAGTTTGGTGATGTAAGACTCAGCACAGGAAATTACAATGATTGGTCAAATTTGCAGCATTTAGACAAAATTGCAAGGTTACACAGATTGCGATTGCAACAATTACCACAAATTCAACCAACTTGGAGAGACTGTAGAGACTGTTGCGCTGTGGCTGTGACAAAACTATTTTCCCATCCTACTCAGCCTCTTCTATCAGTGTGTTTTTGTTACTTTTAATACTATCAAATGTCTTATGTCCTTCTCCTTGCTCTGGTATTTCTTTTCAAACAAAGAAACATTTCATGTCAAACAAAACAACATGAACATCACTGATGATCTGCTCTGACCTTGATGTACGCCCAAGAGATTGGCAGGATGGCGCTGGAGCCCCAGGGGGCGGCACTGATGGTGCCCAGCGAGCTGCCCGTGTTGACTGAATGCATTGGGACCACCGGGTGGCTCGGCAGGAAGGGGGCAAGGTGGGCCTTCCTGTTGAAGCACAGATTGATTGATGATTGATTGATTGATCATGTTGACCTGCCTATACAGAATACACATGCTGGTGTGTGTATATACCCTTAATCTTAAATCGGGTCTCTTTCAGGATCACATTACATGTAGCATTCCAGCATAAATGTTAAAAATATATGGCTGCACAAACCAATTTAGCATTTTCCAGTTTTTCCGGTGAATTTCATTGCCTATATTCTTTCCCTCTTACTTACACTCCAATCGGCCCCATGCCAGGTCCTCCTCCACCATGAGGGATGCAGAAGGTCTTGTGCAGATTGAGATGAGACACATCGGAGCCGTAGTCTCCAGGACGACATAGACCGACCTGGAAAACAGGAAAATCAACTGTCTGCTGCCCATAGTGGCTGGCATATTCACCCATTATGGTTACTATGGTTACTTTTAAGACAGATTACCGCAAACTACCAGTATTAACAACATTTGTCTGATCTCAGACCAGACTGCTAATTTGGACTAACTTTACATTATAGACCGATGCTATATACACACCTTAAATCCAAGCACTAATAAGACAATGAATGTACAACAGATGTTAATCTAATTTAATCTAATTTAACTCTAGATTTCTTTAAGAACTCTTAAATGAAGGCCAATTGAGATTTCAGTTGTGGCTTTGTTAAGCATTTAGAATTTCAAATTAAAACATTTTTTACATGTATAGAGTTTTAAGTGTCCAAGAGCTCTTCATTCAACTATTAACATCAACATAAGTTTTATTAGACCACAGCATTTCATTGT